ACAGTGAGGGTGACAGAGCACTGGAACAGGCTGCCCAGAGAGGTTGTGGAGTCTCCTTCTCTGGAGATCTTCAAAACCCGCTTGGACGCAGTCCTGTGCCACGTGCTTTAGGTGACCCTGCGTGTGCAGGGGGTTGGACTAGATGATCTCTAGAGGTCCCTTCCAACCCTAAGCATTCTATGATTCTATGATCAGATTCACTGCATAATCAGCATAATTCTGATAATGAGAAACACTGAATACTAGAACTGTGCTAAATGCATACTTTAGTCTGCTGAATCATGTGAAATGTTATATAGGTACTGTCACTTGAACTCTGTGGCAGGCTAGTTACACAAGCCTGCTGGCAAACTGCATGAGCTTGGCCAGATGTGGTGTCGAAGCCCAACACAGGCAGCCATTTCCAAATAACACTACTCATAACTTATGAAGGGGAAAACAGTTACTTTCTATACAAAGAGCAAATAAAAAAATAAATAAAAATCAGAGTAGGAATGTTGGATGGGCACTGTGTAAGTATATGGTAGTCAGTCTCTTCGGAAAGAGCTTATAATCTAAATAAATGAAGCAAATGAAATAACAAAAGGGAAAAACAACACACGGAAATAAAGTTCTTGAAAGCTGCAGATCATGCAGAGCTATTCTTTCTCCCTTTTGTGGCCTACTCATTGGTCCCATCCTGCCAGTAAGTATTACTTATTACATCAAGTAAAAGAACATATAGCTTTTAATGGAAATACCTACTGGCCTTTGCTAGACCAAGAGGGAAATTTAAAATAATTCATCTCTAGCTTCCCAACCAATACATGCAAGTGTATCCCTATCAGTTGACCATTGCAGGCAGGTAACTTGAGTGACTCATTCTGTTCCAAACACTGATCTTCATATGTTATCTGATCATTCTTGACTAGGCTGTTCTTTCAGCAAAAGACATCCTGTGTATCAAATCTTGTAGTTGTGTCCTACTTCATAGATAGGAATCTACTCAAGTTACCTGTGTGACTATTGTAGTAGTATTTTATTTAGTAATCTTTTTATCAAAACACATTACAGTTCAATAGCAAGAAGTTCACTGGCACAGTACAGGTCATTTAAATATGTGACGTGACTTAGCAGTCATGTCATCTGGAACTGAATCTCAAGAATTCTGCACAAAATGAGACCCTAGTAAGTGTCTTACAGGAAAAGCAAAGAATGATAAAATTGATTAGAGCATTAAAATATTCTATATGTTCAGGAATGAAAATATTAATGCCATAAAAGGCAGAAGTAAGAGCCCTCTGTTACGTGCATTTAACTCTCATTCTAATTCCCATGTGCAATAATATTTCTGTCATTCCAAATATGGTTTCCATCAGCATCAGCAACCTGAAAGCAAGGATAACGTACACTATGGACAGCTTGGAACTACATTTGTTCTTAGTGACTGGCTATCAGACAAATGAAAATATTTAAAAACTATGTTCTACCTGCCTTTCTGAGCATGGGCAGTAATTTGGGATTTTCTCCTCCATCCAATTAAGAGTTTTCCTAAAACTTTAAGAAACTCCAATATCTTTGAGATCTCCATCCTGCTCCTTTCAAACAGGGTTTAAAGTTATCAGGGAGACATGGATGACTACAGCCAAGTAATGAGAACTCATTAAGTTGTATTTCCATAGCACAAATAGCTAAAAATAATAGTTTGCTGCAGTAAGTGTGTCATTTCCTGATACGATATCTCCGCATAATATTCCCAATATGGAAGTTAGAGTATTTTCTATAACTTTTTAGCATAATATCACTAGTCAAAAGTTTAAATATTGAACAAGTAATTAATGTTGAAAAACTGGCAATATGTTCACTGTTTGTTTTTGAAATATTTTCTTCTCTTGACTTCAGAAACTATCCTATTGTCACTCTGTACTTGGAGTCTTAGTTTTTCTTTTAGGAGGTTTTCATATCCACACCCTCAAATCTTCATTTTCATTCCAATCTTCTTTAGAGGATCCAAAGGCCTTTTGATTTCTGATTCCATTTTCTTCTGCTTCTAGACCTACACTAAGCCCCTCAATCTTTCCAGGCTTTTTTTTTTTTTTTTTTTTTTTTTTAACACCAAAGCAGCTCCAAAAAAAATCCCTTTTCACTGGTATAACGTGTTTCCCAAGCTGAAATCAGCCATGCCAACACAAGACACAGCACTGGTATTTGTTATTTTGAGGATATTAACACGATAAAGATTTTTTGAGACCCAATCCATCTGAAGTTAGGGGGGCACCGTCTGGCCTACGAGCACGGAGCAGCGGAGGCTCCGCAGGCCCTGCTCCGCACGCAGCAGCCCGGGGCACATCTGGCTGCAGCCAGCAGCGCTTGGACGAGACTCCCGATTGGAAGGGAGTTCCTCGAGCTTTTTTTTTTTTTTTTTTTTTTTTTTTTTTCCACCAGAAGTTCCTACATCACACTAAAATTAAATGCAGATAACATTTTTCCTTATTAAATTAAAATATAATATATATAAAATATATATATAAAAAATGTTATCTGCATTTAATTTTATGTATATTTTCCAATGATGATGACGATTGCTAAAAAGTAATATTTAGGAATTACAAACAGTTCAGGTAATGATACTTTAAGCAACAAAACCCAGACACCAACTTCCCAAGAATGTGCTCCAAACTGTATGCTGACAAGCACATGAATGAGGAGAGTCACATTAGATGTTTTTCACAGATTTGGACAAGACCTTACCTGGTAGTTTAGGCAGGCAAACCAGAAGCTTCTTCCACCATGGATAATTATTTACTAAATAGATCACTTTCCTATAATTTCACCATCCTATAATTTTGGGGTTTAGCAAGCAGTACCTGGACAAGTAAAAAGACACAACCCAAATGGAATCTCTAGGGGTGGATGATGAGCAAGTTGAGAGCTTGTGGGTAAGGGTTAAAGGGCAGGCTAATGTGGGAGACACTGTGGTGGGTGTCTGCTACAGGCCACCTGACCAGGATGAGGAGATTGATGAGGGTTTCTATAGGCAGCTGGATGTTGCCTCACGGTCACAGGCCCTGGTTCTCATGGGGGACTTCAACCACCCTGACATCAACTGGAAGGACAACACAGCCAGGCACAAACAGTCCTGGAGGTTCCCGCAGAGCATCGATGATAACTTTTTGACACGGGTTGTGGAGGAGGCAATGAGGAGAGGTGGGCTACTGCACCTTGTGCTAACAAAGAGAGAGGGACTCGTAGGAGATGTGAAGGTGCTGGCGGGGGAGGGGGTAGCCTTGGCTGCAGTGACCATGAGGTGGTGGAGTTCAGGATCCAACAAGGAGGAAGCCGAGCTGTAAGTAGCCTTGCACCCATGGACTTCAGGAGGGCCAACTTTAGCCTCTTCAGAGACCTCCTTGGAAGAATCCCATGGGCTAGAGCTGTAG